GAAAATGTGTTGCCAAGAGTATTCGAAGCATGTGTCCTCGAAGCTAGTCTTCCTTTCTGAGCGTACTTTTTGCCAATTCATTGAGCACACTAACCAGAGACTGGGAACGATCACACTAATTGGTTAATTTTGGGCAAACGAGCGGCGATCGCTCACGCCGTGGGTAGCTTGGTCAACGTCTCGAATTAGCATGGAACGCCTCCGAGATCCGAGATCCGAGATGGTGGGCAGGGCAGGCAGAAAGTCAGCGGGTCGGATTGTTGTTTTAGGAAGTTGGATAGCCACATCCTTGTAAATTTGAGCGCCTCGCTGTGTTTTTGTCTAGGTCTGGACCCATTGACAGCCGACGCCAGTCTGCCTCTAATTAGCAAGATCGCCGAGAGATCGGAGATTCGAGTTGAGAAATCCGAAAGATCACAAAGTTGTCAAGTCATCTGGAGTGGAACCGAAGAACCCGGGCTCCGGTGTCAAGTGGCCCTGTTACTTAACGCCAGCTACTGGACGCCAGTGACTTATGTGATGTGTCTTCTCCCCGTTGCCCAAGATTATGCCGGCAATCGTCATATTTCACGCTCGTCTGTCTTCTCTTCCGCAGAACGATCGCATCACCAAGCTGAAGATCGACAACAATCCGTTTGCCAAGGGCTTCCGCGAAACGGGACAATCGCGCTGCAAGCGCAAGATGTCTTCATCGCCGACTGGCGAGGATCAAGATCAATCGCAGTCACTGTCCCATTCGCAATCCCAATCCGAGTCTGACATGTCGCCGGCGAAGGGCAGTGAAACGGCTGGAGGAGTAGGAGGAGGAACACCGGCAATCGGCGATTCGGATGGTCCGCAAATTAAGCGCCTGAGATCAAATGGCTCCGCCTGCTCCTTATCGTCATCGCTGGACGATCAGTCGGCGCCTGGCGCCAGTTCCCTGGCTCTCGGTTCACCACCGCCCCATCCGCATGCCCATCCCCTCCAGACGAGGAGTGCCTCCAGCGTCTTCATGCAGCACTTCCAGCAGAATATGCAGAGCCTGTTGCGACCCTCACTCGTGGACCTGGCCTGCACCTATTTCGGGAGACCCCATGAGTATGGAGGAGCGGTCCAGACCTCCCCTCTCTATCCTCCGGCAGCCATTTTGCAGGCTGGCTTCGGTCCACATCCTGGCCTGCACCTGCCCCCCGGCATTTCCGGTGGGGATCTCATATCCGATGAGTCGGGAGCCGAAGAACTCGAACTGGACGTGGGCAGTGAAACAACCACTGTGGAGCAGTCCTCACAGGAACAGCCACCGGAACAACCCTCTACAAGGAGCAAGGGCTTCAGCATATCGGCCATCTTGGGAGGAGGAAGTTAGACAGATTTTAATGAGAGATTAAAGGGGGAATAAACTTAAATCAATAATACTTATTTTTTATTACGACATTTTTATAGTATCAAAATCTTATCTACCTAATTATTCTTTTGGAAACGAAGAATAAAGATAAACTGTTTTGAATCTCTTTAAATATTAAACAATCTTGTTGCTACTGTCTTATTCTTGATTTAATAAGCCAGTTAGCCTTACTCATTGTACTCATTTTGATATTATACAGATCATAGCCTGATTAGTTACTAAGTTAAGCTAAACGTTAAGCAATTAAAGTTACACTAAAGAACAAGAGAATCAATTGGTTTTATTTCACTTAGGATTATAATATATGCTCCTGCTGCGCTGAGCCTTCAAAGCCAGAACGCCTACTCATCGATGTAGGTAAATGAACACATCGGATCGGAAAATACTACCGGCAGTTGGCCCTCTATCATTGGCCGATCTTGGGCTGGAAATCACAACTTCCGCCAGACATTAATCCCAACCAATTTACAAGATAAACGTTCGGGTTTCGACAACATCATCAGGGCATCCTCCGCCGCAGCATCCATTAGCCACACAGAGATGCGACAGGCTAGAACATAATTTGTTTGCAATTAAATAGCTCGACAAGGCATGAAATTCGGTTGCAGCCCTCAGATGCTACCCCAGAGACCCGAGTCCATAGCCATGCTATTTATGAAATGGGCAGAGACTGAGACGAAGCCAAAGAAAATAGACAATTCGTTATGTAAGTTGCCGAGGAGATGAAGGGCTGCGGAGCCGGAGGATCTTGGCCAGGGGCTGAACGGAGCCAATGATGAAGTTTACGATGACATGCGTCACCACCCACGTCTCGTCTGCATTCGAGGGACAGAGGGGCGGTGCAGACACCGCTGCCCGCCCAGCCATCGGAAAAACAAACACGGTCGAATCAATTTACCACACCGAACAAAAAATAATCAATTTGAGGATAGCAAGAAGCCAATCTAAGAATATTTAAAATTTTAACTACAAAAATTGAAATGGGGAAAAAAAAAATTGTTTTAAACATGTATGTCTACAGAGTATTTTAATTTTTTATTAAAATAAACAGAGGTTTGTGTTACAATTCGCATTCTTAGAGACAATATGTAGTATTCTTCAAGACACTTTAAATAAATATAAATATCTAAATACAAATAAGATTTTTCAGGCGTATTTTAAATTGTATTTTTAATGATCTTTTGGGACTTCATCCCCTGATTAAATTATTTTAATTACAAATCTTTTAAAAAACAAGCGTGTTGTAGTACCCTATTTAAAAATGTTTTGTCTAGATATTATTAATCTTTTAATATCTGTGATAATGAAACTATTTGTGTATTGAACCTTTAGGTATTTCTCAATGAATTAAAAGAGCAATCATTTTCTTACAGTGTACCAAATCGATTTGAAATTGTTGCCGTTTGTATTGCTGTCTTTACATGCCTCTGGGGATCGGTTCGGATCTATAGGCCTGCGGTTTTATTAGAGATCCCAGTCCAGAACGGGTGACAGATGTCGGCCGTGTGTGCGAGTGCGACTGCGTGTGTTGACAGGCGCAAGGTTGTGAGTGCAATGAATGCCTCATTAAATGGCTGTACTTCCCTCAACCGCACCCCAAAACCCCATCCATCGATGGCAGATGTCGCAGGTCCCCGGATAATTAATGCACTATGGCTGTTGCTTTTTACGCTGCCACATTTGTTGCCTAGCCGCTGCAAGTTGCCTCTTTCTGTTATGTTATGAAATTAGATACACTTTGTCGAGCAGCATTTTTGTTGTGTAAACACGAATTTGGGGAACTCGAAAAAAGGGGGAATTGTTTCCTAAACGAAAGTTAATTAGTTATTAGGGGGAACTAGCACTGGCGGTGCTAATGACTTGGAAAAGCATTTTACACAGCGCACGCGTGGCCGCCACTTCAAATTGAGACTTGATTCGATAAGGGATTAGGACTCCAACGTTTCGCCATCATATTTCATATTTGCATAGCAATATTACTGTTCAAGCATAGTCTTTAATATTTCTGTTTTTTACTCTATAGATTTTAGACTTTGGACAAGTATTTTATCAACTCAAATACGCATTCGAGAAACATTAACAAAATTGCTATCATAATACCATAACTAAATAATATATTTTTCCATATTCATAAAAAGTAAATAAATGCTTTATGGATATATATTAAATGTATTAATATTAAACCATTTTGTTTTTTTTAGTGGAAAGTCTTTTGGTAATTGACCGACCTAATCAATACAATCAATAATTTTTCCTAGTAGATTAGTTTAAGAGGCATAGAACACCAAAAAACATTTAAAATCCCGGAAAGCCTCTGTCTGAGCCCACATCTAGACTTTAGTTGAGCCTGCGCCCGGCGTTAGGCAAACAAGATGGCAACAATGCGGTGGTACTTGAGTCTTTATTGTTGGCCAATGCAAATATATTGGTCGCGAGGAGAATGCAACAAAGCGTGGCAAAGAAAGGTTTCCGTGTCGCCGGGGCCAAGCCATAAAACGGATGCACATGCACCGACCCAGACCGTCTGGGTTCGGGTTCCCAAATCGACCTGTACCGGCGATCCCTACTAAGCTGGGGTTTTAAACTAGAGCAGAACAAACCCACCACCAAGATGAGGCTCAACAGCAGTAAGATCGGCCATCGGCAATCGGCCAACAAAGGCCGTAAAAGCAGTTTATGCAAATGGGCTCACATGTGGGCTGGAACTAGCATATACATATGAGGAGCTGCGACCCTTTTGGGCTGGCACAATTAACAAAGCGTGTAATTTCTCAAACCTATCGTGTGAACAATGGCACAAACAATTAGAGGATAATGAAAATCACCCACATAAGCAGGTCCACTACAGTGCTCACTCGATGGGAGGGTGCATATATGATCATATAGGCAAATCTCGGGATCAGTTGGAAAATACTCGCAGTGGAACAATCAAAACCGGAGCACAATGGTCGTCGTCAAGTACGCATATCCTTTGCAGTGGTCCCCTTTACATTGTCCTCGCTTTGTTTACAACTCTATTGAGTGCAAAATACAGCAGCATTGTCGTTGGCTATATATTTGCATACTCTTGTTGTCTTTGAAGACAAACCACAAAATCAAATTCAAATTACTACGCGCCATTTAATGAGAAGCTCGGATAGAGTTGCCAAGTTTCACGAGTAGGCATTAAATTGGCGTTTCCACCAGAGGAAACTCGCATCTCTTTGGCAAACACATGTTTTGCATAAAATTGCTCGATAAAGAAATGAAACAAATTATATATTCTAATAATATTTTATTAACAAACGTCAACGAACGAACTTTTTAAGTAGAGAGTGGATTTCTTAAGTAGGTACAAAAATTTGATGTTAATGTTTAATACAAAAACATCAATAGTCATCACATTTATAATGAAAATCCAAGCAAGAAATGAGTCGCCATTCATTTTTATTTTCAATTTTTTTTCAAAATAGGGCTTAATTTTTGATATTGATTGTTCTAGTAATATAACAATTATTTAATTTGTTATGCCCTACCCAGTACAAGTGGAAGCTGCCCTAGAAACGCAACTTAAAAAAGTGACAAGTGTGTTTAGCCCTGGGAACCCTAACAGCAATGACAGCCCTGGCACTTGTCATTTTGACTATTGCGCCATTCCGAACAAATAAATTGTACTCTTCGAAACTACGAGAAAATTCAAACGAAATGAGCTTACTTGGTAATGATAGTGACTCGGACAACGACTCCTTTCACTCCTTCAACCAGAGCGAGACGTTCCTCGACAACCTAAGCCTCTCGCTCTCGCTGAGCGATTGCGACAGCGCCGCGGACCTTGAATCCGGATCCGAGCATGAGACTTCCGTGGAGAATGTGGGGAGCACGGCAAGTGTCATTGGTTTACTATAGTCTTCACATAGTCCTAAGATAATACCTCCACAGGTCGAGGACCCCGATCAGCTGGCCCAGGCCGTCTCCCTGAAGCCAAAGTTGACCAATTCGGAGATCCATTCGAGTGACTCCTCCGCCTGTGATGGCGTATCGACCGGCAAGGCCTCCGAGGTGGTAGGGCGCTTCAAGACTCCCAAAAAGTTCACCATCTCGCCGATTAGTCAGCAGAAGCAGGATCCCGTGCTCTGTTGCCCCAGGGAGGTGCCGCAACTGGCCTCAAATCAGATGCCCAGCAAGGACCTCTTCAACCTGGATCAACCGGTCCTGAAGGAGCACCTGACCATCAATCGCCACACTGCGGCTATGCAGAAGTATGCCTTCACCAAGATTTGGGTCGGGTCACAGCAGGGTCCTGACCAGCTCAAGTTTTCCCGCTTGCGGAAGTTTTCTGTGGCCCTGGAGGCCTATTTCGACAAGGATTCTTCTAAACATATGGATGATAGTAACTTGAAGTCTGAGCAGAAGGAGCCAGAAAAGGTAGGTTTAATTGTTATACAAATATATCGGCTTTCTATCTCATAAATGAGTTTACAATTACGACTTTTTTTAAAGAGGCCCTTTTATTAAAAAAATATTTAAAAATATATTTTATCACTCTTTAAAAAAGACAAATAGTACCGTATCTTAATTTATAGAAATACTCTTTAATATTATGTATACAAGTAGTATCTTTTACAAATGAACACTAAATGTTTAGTTATCTAGTTTAACCCTTAATAATACCATTTAAATAGAAATCTCTTTTTTTTAACAAACCCCAATCTAATTCTAATCTGAATGTTTATCATTTATGTTTCAGACCACTGAGGCTTCTCTGAAAGATAACAACTCTGTGAAGGAGTATGTGTCTCCCTTCCCGAATAAGCCAGTGCAACCAGCTCCGAAGGTATCGCCCCTCTTGAAGGGCGTTAAAGGGCCGACTATAGTGCCAGCTGGTTTTGATTTGAGCCAATTGGTGGAGTTTAAGAATCCCAATCACTGGCATCGCCGTCCCCATATGTGCACTGGCGATAGCATCTACTAGACGTTGCTTAACTAGTTTTATATCAGTATATTGCCAACAACTCAACTGTTATTGCATTATCATAACCATCACCACCGCTGGACGATTTGGGATTTATTCTTTTAGCTGTTGTTATTCTTCAATAAAGGATTGGAAACTACCAAAGCAATTGGAGCGCCGAACTTATGCGTCTGTCAAACTCCAGCAAAGACATAATATCGCCAGCGTTGAATGGGAACGTCGTCGCCGGCTCCAAATGATTTCATTGTGCTGCCGATAAAATTGTCGCCAGCGAAAAATGTTGCCCGTGACTTTGATTTCGGCCGCCGCAACATTAATTTCCAACGAAATTACACATGCCCGTGGAGGGGATGGCTTATCTGGGCTGGCAGATCGCCGAGTGAGCTCGGGTCGGAGCTCATTTGCCGCTGACATGCGAACGTTTGCTTTGCTCCGGCCCCAAACATGGACTCTCTCCTGGCCTAGCGGATGCCCCCAAATGAGAATTCAATAAATTTCAGGTAAAGGTAAAGCCAACAGCAGCAGCAGCGGCAACAACACAATGGACCGAACGTTGTCGTTAGTCTTTTGGCGACGTTTAACATGAATATGCAGTGTGGCTAATGTGGAGCCCATAAACACTTCCAGCGGCAACATGAATGGGCCGAAAAACAGGTTGCAGCTACGTGTGTGGGTATCGGTGGGATATTGGGGTCCTGGCTCTTAACAATTGTTTCTTAACGCGAACTGAAGCGAATGCCACCGTCGAAGATTGCCTGTTTAGCCAATCATCTAGCCGGCTCTCTTTGGGGGCAACACTTGCGACTGGTGGACTCGACTTTCAAAGGAGCCGCCTCGTTTCCGCTCGATAGCATGGAGATGTGTGATGGGACACCCGGACAATTGCATGTAAATGGCCACAGTTTCGCTAACAACTACAATGTGAAAACATCAATTACACGGGACTGGGGATTGGGGGGATTGAGCAGTGGAGTCGGACTGCTCGCCAGGATTGCCGGCGATCGTGGCGCTCAATCAGCGCATTTAACTTGGCGCCGGCGCCAGCGTTTAAGATGCGGCTCGCTCTGATCTGCTGATAAGCCCATGTCCATGTTGTTGCTGCTTATGTTGCGGGTTGCCGGTGGGTTATTCTGCTCTTAGAAGGCAGGTTGGATGAGAAGGAGGTGGGGGAGGTGGAGAGCGCTGTGGCCCGAAGGAACAGGTTTTTATGCCTTGCATGCGGGAGATATGAAACCGAAACCCAAACCAAAACCGAATTATGTATTCGCCGACGACAGGCAAATGGAAGCATGCAACACAAATTGCTGGAACAGGATTCGAAGCGCAGTCATGGGAAGTTATTGGGGAATTTATTCAGATCTCCGGCTTGCAAGCTCTTCGCATCTGTCTCTTCTAATTGCTCCACATTCCCGGCATTGTTTCCCCCCAGAAATATCTCCATCGAGTTCATTGGGTATACGTTCATACACATATTTTATTTATCCGCATTAAAATGCCAAAGACAATAAATCCATTACGAAATCATGTGAACAATTAAAATTGCATAATAAATACGATAAATACTGATGGCAAATACCTGGAAATCCTAATTAACTGCAAAATATCACAATTCAGCTTAGACACTACGCAGACGATGGCAACTAAACGCTAATTAAATGTACAAGGCACCGATTTCAATCCAAATGGGAGCACATGCACCCGACTGGACGCTGTTTAAATGGACGTGCTGGTTCCTAATATGTCCGAGATGCTGAAGCTGCTGCGTTTCGGCTTGGGCATTGGATCGCTGAGAGCGGGAGCAGGAGAAGCGGCAGCAGGTGGTGCGGTTCCGACCACATCCACAAAGGTGTCGGCATCTGCCTCTCGATCGGGAGCAGACTCGCCGCTGGACGAGGAGGAGACGGAGGAGGCCGGCGATGGCGGGGTGTAGGCCCAACTTGGATAACCTGCGATGTGCCTGGCATACTCGATGGCCGGCGGCGGTGGCGCTGGCACATAGAAATTGGCCTCCAAGGTATCCAGCAGGTAGTGACGCTGCATTGAAACGTTCGGATGGTTCTGATGATGCTGAGGAATTTCCTCCACCAGTCGCAACCGCTTGGCTAACGGCGATGGCATCGAGTCCACCTGGGTAACCTCTGGCTGAGACGGCGGTGGCGAGTCATTGATTTTTCTTTTGCACCTCGACTGACCCGACTCACGGAATCCCTTGGCGAAGGGATTGTTGTCGATCTTCAGCTTGGTTATGCGGTCATTCTGCAGAGCAAATATGAGCGTTAGTTACTAGACATCTCGTATTTAAACTGAGATATAGCAGTACACACCTGATAAGCCGTAACGGCTATAAACTCGGTCTCCGGAAACACAAAGGCCTGTTGGGGGGCCCATGGAATCTGGCCGAGATCAGAGGTGCGTATGACATGCAGACGCGGCTGATATTTGTGCATGCTGGCTAGGACGATCTGAAAAAGGAGGAAGAAATTGGATGTTGAAATAAGTTATACTTTAAAATCTGGTTCTACGAAAAGCTCAATTTATCAAATTATCAATATTATCATTTAAGAGAAAAATATTTATTTCTTGAATATATTTAGGACAGTGAAAGACAGTTGCTAGTATATTTAACGATAAGATAGGTACATATGATGTACACAGTTTACCGAGTTTAAAAGAAAATTTTAAAAGTATTTAAGAGCGTTACAACTTACATGTCCATTATTATCCAGGGTGTTGTTTGTAAGCTTCACCTTGCTGAAAAGCAGGGCCTGGGACTGCCAATGCTTTCCCGTAGCCGGACTCTCCGGATGCAGATACATTCGCTGCGGACTCTGGGGCTCAGCTCCTCCAGCTGGAACCCACTGGGATCCAGAGAACTTGTAGCGGCAGTCGCCAATGGGCACCATCTCCAGAAGGACGCAGTAGCTGGCCTCCTCCTCTAACCCACTCAGAGAAACCCGCATCGAGGGAAACATGCGCCTGAAAGGGACGGAGACAATAGTGGATGGATGTTAGTGACACGTCTTCATAAGACAGAGTGTATTCGGAAGGCTTATCAGCGGGAGATAAGCTGATGGGGGCGAGCAAATAGCCAAATAAACAATTGGTACCAACCTGCCGCACTTGGTGATGATCATCTCGGTGCCGATGCTGTGGAACTGCTGCCATAGTTCATTGTTCTCCAGTTTGGCCTCCACATCGCCGGGTAATGTGGGTTGCGGTGGTGGCGGCGGGGGCACAAAGTGTCCGGCAAAGTTGGGGAGCAAGCCGCACAGGGGATCTGTGGAAGATTTCATCGGTAAGCCGTCGGCAAATCGCAGATGGGGAGTGCTCCACTTACCGGGTAATCGTTGCATAATCTGCTGGCGGTATATTTCCTGGGCGATCTGCTGCTGCAGGCGCAGATCGGCGATGTTGGGCAAGGTCAACATTGTGAGTTCTTGGTAATGATATGTAATCTTCTTTTTTGCGGGTGGTATTGGTCCGTAGGAATGTCGATCGAGTAGCGATGACTGGAACACGAACTGATCGCTTTGCTGTCCAGATTGAGACTGTCTCTCGGGGTCTCAGAGCGGGCACTACTTCGATTCTACCAGAATCCGGTCGGATGGGTTCCTCCCTCTCCCTCTCTCCATCCGATCCTCAGGTAGTCGCCCGACCTGTTCCCATGCTCAAGTGCCACTCGCCCGCTCTCTCGCTTCCACTCACTCTACGTGTATATCTCTTTGCCATTGGCTGCTTATCAGCGAGAGCTACGCCATCCCGCTCTCGCACGCTCCGCCAGATGGAACGCCATTTTCGTATCGTTTTGGAGGGGGTTTCGGTTCGGGTTCGGGCTCTTTTTCTGGTGACCTCCTCCTCCCTCCGGACTTGGGGCACGGCACCCATCTTGCTGCTGATAGCATTATATAGAAAGGGGAACGGCTATGGGAATGGGTTTTTCTGGGGAGAAATGGGGAAACGCTCTTTGAAGTCGCCTAATCGCTTGTAATATTTATGGAACTGGAAAACGTTTTGGATATGGGCCAACCAATAATGTTCGCTGAGATTACGTTCTTCTAAAAATGGGAAGCTGTAATTTTGTAAGCACGAGAAAAACCAGAAAAAATACATATTAATTTTGAGGAGGAATTTCGAAAACAGCACTCAAGGAATTTATTTAAAATTTGAATTTATAATTTGTTGAGTTTGTATTTGTCTTAGCATAACTTGTAATGTAATGTAATTTTAAAACCTCTAAAAAAAATTAAAACCTTTTTTTAAACCTTTTAAAAAATATATGTACATTTACATTCAAGTAATTTATATTAATCCAAGATTTACTATCAGTTTTAATTGATGTCTGGACTCACCCGTCTTTGTTTTATTATTAATTACATCAATAAATTGGTATTTGATGATTATAATTACATTTCTTTTCAATATCAATCTACATATGTCGAAAAATCAAGTTATTGAAAAACTCAAACATGCGGGACTAGCTTATATTAGGCTCCTAATTCTATAGAACATAAAATCAAATAACTTAATAATTTCAGTTCCAATTATATACTTTTAAAATCTATAGAACCTATTAACTTTTTAAATCCTAAAAATATAAATCTTTCCCATAGAGTTTCTTTGAAATCTGAGGAATATTTTCTAAAGTGTTCTTTAAGATTATTTAACATTTTGATCAACGGCATTTTTGAGAGCGCACTTGAGTGTCAAACCTTTGATATTCGCTGGATATATCTCGATGTCATGATCAGCACCCATCTGCTGCAGAGCGTTTAACTTATCTGCAATCGTTGTTGCATCTTGTAGATGCAACGAAATCTCGCCGCTACCGTTTGCACCAGAGGGGCTCTAAAAAGAGATCCGCCCCGTGATAACCCGGGCTAATCAAACCTTTAAACGGCACTTGATGCTGGGCCACAACAAATTGCGGCAGCCGGGAGCGGACTTCGAATCAAACTGGCGCCAAGCCACTGTCGCCTTCGAGCCACTTGAAAATCGGAGTGGGATGGGTCGGGAAAAGGGATACGTCTAACGGATCAGTCACTTGTTGCCCCTTGTCTTGTTCTGTTCTTTCGGGTGCCAGGGCGACGGTGGCGGCACAAACTCACAGGCGAGTCATAAAAATCATCACACTTTGTCCCCGAGATGCTGCCTCCTCATCGCTGGGAACAAAAGCAAGAGCCTCGAGGATGCGAGGATGCGAGTTTTATGGCCTGGTGGTGCGACGACCGCCGACTGTTTGTGTCTCTGCAGTTTTCGAAATTATTGTTATGATTATTGCCTGTTTGTGGGTCTGCTCTACAATTTGTTTGCTATTGTCTGGCCGCCTAAAGATTGGAGACAAAAGCGGGCTGACAAAACCGCAAAAGGACATCGCTTGGGGGTACGAAAATGGGAACCGGAACGGATCCCATAAAGATCCTTAACTATCGATGATCAGTATAAAAGTATCAAATTACCTTCGGAGATGCAGATTTAATGCAGAGATAAAACTATGAGACTGATATTTAGTGAAATACTGTAACCACCTTAAATATCTACATTTTAATATCTCAAATATAATATGGAAGTTTTATTTCACAAAATTCATATTTAGTTTGTCATGGTTTCTTTTCACTATTTTGCGAATTGCCTGAAGTTATAAATTTAATATTTTTCGAGCTAAAATAACTGATATGTTACAAAAACATTTTTAATTAAAACATCAAACTGAACAAAGATTGATTTTTGATCTCGATAATATATTTTTTTCTGAGGATATCTTGTTACTAAAATATCATTGGATTTTTACTTCAACTATTTTTTAAATTTCAAAAATTATAAAAAAAATGTAATTAAAAATGTTAAGATTTTTTCGAGTGCGTTTATTGTGCTGATTACTATTACATTACTATTTCTTATAAAATTACTTCAGCATTAAAAAATGATAATGGTTACATATTTTCTGGGGATTGCTTGGTATTAAAAGAAAGGTAAGGACCTTAATCCCTGCTCGCATTTCCATTACTCGTCTCCGGTCATTAGTCAGTCAGATATGCAATTTCCGGTAATTCGTAACTCGACTAGCTTTGCATAAACTCATTGCCATATTTCCGCTTATTCCGGACGGCCTAAGTGCCCCTGACCCGACCCAACAAAAAAAGACGACGGCGACGACCCTCGAGTGTGACTCAGGCAATTAGCGGAGGACGGGAGTTGAGGAGTTCAGGAAAGCAGGCCCTGTCCAGACGGATTTGTGTCATTAGCGCTCGCGCTGCTCGCCACTCGTGTCCGGCTTCATTTCCATTTTCATTCAGTTTTCGGACTGGAAAAACCCGGGGAAATTTGAGCAGCGCTCACTAATTGCATGTTTGTTATCGTAGGGAACGCGCTTAGGCTACCTTACGCAAGACAAATCTGATAAACAGCTTAAAATTTGCACATGAATCAGACACATAGATTTATTGTTGCTGGTTTTTTTTCGTGGTTTACATGTAACTTTTGGCTTACACTTGCACCGTACGTGGGTTAGATATTTGTTGTGTGCCATGCCACATTCGTTTACAGTATTTACTAGACATTTTCTCTTTTATCATTAGCTACCAAAATGGATTGTTCATTTCCGTATTTGTAATTCAGCTTGGTATTAGTTGTGTACTCTTCGTTAGTTTATTATAGTTTTATCACAGCTATACGTTTATATAATTATTTGTTAATAATTGTTTTTAAGATTCATTAAATATGTTTTCCAATTAGTTTGTGATGCGGCCACAAAACATTAAAACACATTTACACCGAATTGCCTACGAAAGGTTGCTTAAAAAGGAATAACATACAAAATGTAAATAAAGTAGGAAGTAGTGGGGGAAATCGATCCAAGCTGCTTTAGGACAATTCGAATCCAGTGTTGCTGCTCACGGCGTAGCGGAGTTTGTCGCGCAGCGTGGACTTCTTTTGGTAGTTGGGCAACTTCAGGAGGTTGAAGCAGGTCGACGAGGTGGGCAGGCGGTTGAGCGGATCTTTTTTGCGTATGGTAAAGAATCCTCGGATCACACTTCCAATTGTGTCCCCCGTATCCTCGTCATCACCCACCTCCACACAACGAATGGAGAAAGGCGGCTCCAGATGGGCGAAACCCAAAAGCGGAGGCTTCGAGCAGCTGGTAACAAACTGAAAAGTAGATTCTAGTTAGATAATCATCAATTTGCATTAATAAAATAACTACATACCTTTAAAAACAGCTTGCGCTCGTCCTCTGTGAAATCCTTGGCCAGGATGTCCCAGAGCCAGCCCACCACACGATGTGAGTCGTGAAAGCCACCATAATACTGCGTATGCTTTCGCAGATCCTTCAAATCTAAAGGCACCGTGTCACCGGAAATTAGGCGCTGCAGTTCGGGAGGTGAGAACAGGGATAACCATTCTGGATTCACGATGCTGCGGAAGCCACGATTGAAAGCTATTGTCTGCTCGCGGATCTGGGTGTTCATGTGGAAAAAGGCCATGTAGTGAATGTAGACCAACTTGTTGTGATCATTAACCACACGCGCCTTGCCACCGGGATGCAGTTCATGAGTGACAATCTTGCCCATCACATCCTGGTCCACGGAAAAGGTCAGGTTAAGATCGGCCACGTCCTGCTTGTAGTGTTTGATGAAGGTTAGACTGCGATACAACTCGTTGTCCAGCGATGGCAGCTCGTCCATGCAGGAGTAGAGAGCCTGCTGTGTCTGGCCGAGCAGCTGGGAGAGGAAGAAGGAGGCGAACGGGACGTCCACTACAATGCCCTCGTACACCGCCTTGCCCAGCATGCGGCCCACGAACTCAAAGAGCTGCAGATGATTGTCCTGAACGTAGGAGATGGGCGAGGGATATAGCCGCTGATCCGAGGTAGTCTTGAAGAGATTCAGCGACGGATCGAACACCTTCTTGAGGGTCTCCTCCAGGAATTCCTTGAACACTCCATCCTGGTCAATGCCCGCCTCGTGCAGTCCCTGCTGGTTAATGAACCGCACCCGGATAACACCTTTTAGTGCTTGAGTGGGTTGGGCGGCCAGTTGCCTATACCCATCCTCCACAATGCGCTCTCGATGGATGACAATCAGGGCGGAACGAGGTGAGGCACAAGCACTCTCCGTTAGACCCATCACCGCCTTCTCGTTCTGCACGAACTTCCGGAACAGCTTGACCCGATCTTCGTGCGGTATAATGTGAGGCATCTTGGCCAAAAGCAGCATAGCGTTCCGCTTGGCCTTCTCCAGGTCGTTTATAAACGTCGAAGGCTTCACCTCCGGTATGAGCCAATGATTGGGTGGCGTAAACGGGCGACGGCAATCGCGGCGGTAGAGACAGAGCATCAGCGTGTGCAGCGAGAGGAAAACCGGATTAAGAATAATGTTTTTGGCACCTGCTGGAGATTGGAAGAGATTCCATTTATTATTAATTCTTACATGCAATAAGTCTTTCCAAAAACATTTAAAAATATTTCAAATGATTGGTAAGACTTCTTAACAAACAAAAAATAGATTCATTTAGACTTACCCAAAAGATTGTCATT